ACTCGAAATAAATCACTTGATGGTAAAAGTAAAGTAAGAGTCAATAAAAAGTTTAAATAATTTATTGCTGTTATAAACACTATTTATTAATCATTTGTATCGATAGATAGCAAGTGGTATACAAACCCGTGAATTATGAAACCATAAAATCTTTGTTGGCGTCGGTATTGAGTCGATAATACATTCAACATTTACTGCCTGTCCATCCATACCGTACTGAACGTATGGCCGTCTTATACGCGGCGGACCTGTAGTTGTATTGAAAACACATTTTATTACATTGTATTCACTATAAGACACTTGTTTTACACGAGTATTGTGTTTAGCATTGGTTTTGATTGTAGTCATTATTTATATTGTGTTTCACAGCTTTTAATATCGCAATAAAATCATAAAATAATTTTATTTCTCTCTTATACTGTATGTTATTATTATTATATGCAATAGTGTTATAGTGTTATAGTATTATGTAATAAATGTTTGGTTTGCGAGGATTGGGAGGATTGGGAGCAATGACTGCAAACACTGACCAAAACTACTCAATGAATAAGAGATTCAATCAATTGTTGGCTTTTCTCTGGTCTTTTCAAAGTTATTCTGACTTTCAGTTTATATTCACTTTTCTCTCTGGGATTTGATTTATGAAATCAAATAATCGTTTTGTGTTTGAATCGAGTTTTTGATTCAACGAAACACTTGATAGTCAAGTGTTTGGAGTTTTTTGATAAATCTTTTTGTTATCAAAAAACTAAAACTCAATTAAAAGTGAGTTATAGGAGAGGGAGTGCTTTGAATACAAAGGAATTACAGTTAAAGGAAAAAAACAAATGAAACAAACCTTTAATGAAAACCAGACTTTGGGCCGAAATCTCAGCAAATCCTTTGACGGACGCTCGACACAAATACTGGCCCTCTCTGTCGGAACTCATCTCTCGGATGACGAGTTCGGGTCCAGTGGTGACCACTTGACTGCTGCCAACCATAAGCCATGTGATGTTAGGCCGAGGATTGCTGTCCACATCGCACCGGAGGGTCACCTCTTGACCCATCTCTGCACCGGTGAAGGGCTCGAGTGCTGTACGAAAGTGGGGGCCGTAGACGACATCCAGAGTCCACTTTCCTCTACCGGTGCCCACACTGTTGGCCGCCTCGCAACTGATGACAACTCCGTTCATATCTTTCGTGACTTTATTGAAGACTAGACGCGAGCCGTGATCTCCAGGGATCTGCTCTTCGTTTCTGAACCACTTATACACGACTTGATTGGGATTTCCTGTGGCCTCGCAGTACAGAGCGATGTCTTCGCCGACCTGTTGCTGAACACTATCGGCTCGGATGTGCACTTCTGGGGCGTACTTAACCTCAACCCTAATGTATGTATATTTGGGTTGTTTTAAAGCAGCGTTTTCTGAGCGACACGTCAATTGCTTTCCGTCCAAGTCTTTGGTGGCACTCAATGTCCACTTCAGAGCCGCGTTCCAGCGCTTCCCGTCACTCAACAGTTGAGTCGTGTAGGAGATCCCTGTCATCACCGGATTGCCCTCACCGTCCAACCACGTCAACTGTGCACAGGTGGACAGGTAGACAGAAAACCATTCATTAGTATGTATTACAAACTTTCAATTCATGCATTCATTTATGTGTCAAATATTTTATAGAAAACACTAATTCCTAACAAAACCCGAAACGGCTTCGACTGTATTGACTGACAAACCTATTGTGAGATTAAAATCAAATTATATGTGACATGACATGAGGTGTGATTCATATGAAAGTGAAATCAAATATTAAGTAAAAATCAAATCTTATTATAAAAATAATAATTCATTGAAAGGAATGTTTAGTCAATACAAAGAAGTCATTGAAAAGAGATTATCAATGAATGAATGAATGCATAAATAGGTGGACCATAGCTGTGATGAGCACAGGTATGGTGTGGTGTATGGCATGTATGGCATACCTCTGCGGGTGGTTTGCCTCCATGTGCTTCGCAGGTCAGCTCCACAGTCATGCCGGCAGTGGTCCTGAGGTACTCGCCCTGTGCTCGGGACTGGACTATGACCGGCAGTTCTGGCGGTGCAAACACTGTGAACGATGCGCTCCGGGATCTGATGCCTCGGATGCCATCCGCAGCCCCGACCTGACACTGGAAGACAGCGTCGTCTTCGAGGGAAACGGAGTTTATTTGTAGGGAATAATCGCCTGAAATATACATTCAATTCATTATTATCTATAAGTCTTAGAGTTGAGTGTGTTTTGAGTGCTAAGACATACCCTCGTCATCGGTTCCAATCATATGATATCGAGGAAAACCCATGAGATTCCTCTCAGTCCCCAAACCAAACCCATCTCTCGTCCCTAGATTTGGGTTTAATATAAATTTAGAGACAAATACTCTTTTACAATGACTTTTAATATAGACTTATTATACAACTATTCGGACACTTACACTGCAAAGTACCCTGTTTATAGTCAACTCTACAAGGTAATATAACTGTATCGCCCACTATAGCAGTCTTATCGCTCGGTTCGATTGCAAATCTTTGTGGCGATAAATCTGTGAAGACATCAGTTTTAGGCAAACATTAATCACTTGAATATTAACGCAATTATTATTATGTAATAAATGAATGAATGGACACTCACTTTGTTGGCCAACGACTGACTGCCAAACAGTCATTAGACTGAACACATAAATCACACAAATCTTGGCATACATTTTATTACTAATGTTACTGTTCTTGACATTAAAGTTGAATTATTTTAACAGGTTAACTTTATATTAACTCATTTCTTCTCTTTTGATAAGATGTAATAAATCCATTGATAATTCCTTATTGAATATTAAAGTCTGAAAATAAAATAAAAACCATATTAAAAGTTTATTTTATAAAGTCCTGAATTTATTTACCAATAAGTTAATTGGTTAGGTTAGGTTAAGTTAATTTACCAATGCTATTTGTTAATTCATATTTCGTAAATAACCGATTCTTAAATTTTATATATGATTAAAATAGACTATAAGAATATTTTTGGTTTATCAATGATGTTATTTAAGGAGTTGTATCATAATATTTTATCACTCAAATTTTAATCAATAGAATATAAAACTATGTAATAAAAATAAAAATTGTGCTAGATATATTATTCTTTCAATTTCACTCATCATTCATTCAATCGGAGCCAACCTTTGAATGGGTGTCATTTGACTGCACTTTTTAGATCCCTTCGCAGTCAGAGCCAGACATTCAATCACAAGAATAAACTAAATATCTCTCTCTTCTCACTCTTCTCACTCTCTCTCTCACTCTTCTCTCTCTTATATTTTTGGTGCCTTTCCTTCACAACTACAGTACATATCTCTAGACCAGAGAAATAGATGTCATATTCGGGAAGGGAATCATATTTCATATCATATAAGACATGTATTTTAAGGGCTAAGCGCCAGTCGTAGGCACTGATACCTACTCAGGGAAGCGGTTATGGCTGTTATGGCCGATAATCGGCTGTAGATTCACAGCCAAAGTATATATCAAAATATATATCAAATATAACTTATATATCAATAGATTTATTCCCTGTTTAGAGAGAAAAAAGTGATTTTTAAGATATCTATTAATCATCGAGTGATTCAATAAAATCTCAAAACGCTATAACTGTTAACCAATTTATACCAA